TTTTAGATTGTACTCCTGATATTAGGAAAACTGAACAGATGAGTGCCGTCATACGTTTTGTCCTCTGCAGTGATAGAGTGGGAGAAATCAAGGAACATTTTTTAGGCTTCATTAAAGTTGATGATTCTACAGGTGTGAGACAGTAATGGAAATGTTGTAAATGTGGAACATTCCCCTTGATGATATGAGAGGCCAGGGGTATGACAACGGCGCAAATATGAAAGGGAACAAAAATTGTCTTCAAAATAACATCTTAAAAATAAATCCTCCTGCGTTTTATGTTCCTTGTGTCGCTCATAGCTTAAATTTAATGATTAACGATGCAGATACAGTTAGTTTTCAAGAATTATACAATTTATTTTCTTCTTCTCCTAAGCGATGGGCAGTTCTTTTAAAAAAATTTCCTGTTTAACCTTAAAAACCCCTCTCAAACACTCGATGCGAAAGCAAAATTGAAGCTATTCGACCTTTAAGATATCAACTAGGAGAAATCTATGATGCTCTCTTCGAAATATCCGAAGATGAATGCTTTTCAAACGAACTGCAACATGAAGCACGAAGTCTGTGTACCAACATCAAGGATTATAAATTTATTTGTTCCTTGATAGTTTGGCACGATTTGCTAAGCAGAATTAATCCTGTGAGCAAACAATGGCAAGAAAAGGGTGTGAGTGTTACACTAGCCTTAAAGGCAATAAGTAACTTAAAAACATTCATTGAAGAATATGGAAGTGATATCAATTACAAAAGTATTTTTGAGAAAGCTGAAGAACTTAGTGAAGAAATGGATGGCGAGCCACAATTTAAAACTGTTGAAGAAGTCCGAAGAAGGAAAAAGAAATGTCACTTCGATTACGAACATGCTGACGAATCCCCTCAATCTCCAGAAGAAAAGTTTAGGGCAAATGTCTTTTTTAGAATTTGGAGATACTGCTTGGATACTTGCTACATCATTAAACGAAAGATTTGATGCAATGAAAAATCACTGCGATAACTTTAGTTTCCTGGGTAATTTATCAGAAATCGATAACGCAAATTTGAAAATAAAATGCGATAAATTAGAAAAATTGTTACAGTGTGGTGCCAATAAAGATATTAACGCAGAATAACTCTATGACGAAATAGTAGCTTCGAAAGACATTTTTACAGCCGGTATGAATGACCCATTCCATATTTTGAACTTAATTGTGTCAAATAATTTGTGCTTCCCGAACTTGAAGATCGTACTGAGAATACTACTTAGCATTCCTGTTAGTGTGTTGCTAGTAGCGAAAGATCATTCTCCAAATTAAAACTGATCAAGACATATTTACGTTCAAGTATATCGCAGGAAAGACTCATAAATTTAGCTTTGATTGCCATTGAAAATGAAATCTGTCAAGAACTAAATGCAAAAGAAATTATAGAAAAATTTGTAAATATGAAATGCAGAAAAATAAATTATTCTCAATAAATTGTTAAAATCAATTTCAACAAATGCTTTCTTCAAAACTTCCTTCTCCTATACAAAAATTTAGAAGAAGTGGGGGGGGGCTTATAATCTAGCGGGCGCGTATATAACGATTTTCAGAACTAAAAGCTTGGGCAGCAAAAAATTTCCTGGGCCCTTAATAAATGCTTAAAATAAAAAAACGCGAAAAAAAAAATAAATTGTCAGAAAACGGGTTTTTTAACGGTGTGCCCTTTCTTATTAAATATCATGTTCCTCGCACTCCATAAGATCCAGTGCAACAGCAATATCGAAAAATAGTTTTAAAACGAGCATATCTTTAGAATTTCCGATACAGAGACTCACGCGCTGGAGATAAAAATGTTTTTTCTGCACAACGTTGCCATTGCTCGCTTTGAAATCCTTGAGTTTGTTAATCAAAAATTCGTCAAAGTTTTAAAAAATAGGAAATCGATCATCATAAAACAAATTTCAAATTTCAAAGGTCTTCCACATGCTCATATTCGTTGAGGATTACGTTATTCAAAATTCGATGACTCTATGGTACCGTTATTTTATGACAATGTGAGAAATATACATACATTACGCAGATTTTCATTATTTAATTTCTTCAAATAATGCAGGACTCTAACATTTTATGGCAACAGTTTGAAAAGTGAACCAAGGAGGTTAGAATAGAAGGAGGGAGGGTTCGCAGTTTCCTCCACTATCGGGGAATGAACTCCACGGAACGCGCGTCCATGTTGTTTACTTCAAAACTTGCAATACGGTAGTGGAACGTACGTGTTAAGTTGTTCTATGCATGAATTTTCTAGTAAAAATATGTAAATTTATAATGAAAATGCTTCGCTATGTTAGTTTTTGGTTTTAAAGTTATACAGGTGATATCTGTAATTTACTAAGTACAGAAAATCATTTAAGAAATATTCGAAATCTAAATGCATGTGCATAAACATTAAAGCCTTTACAAATTATGTTTCTGCATAATTTCAAGAATTTGTTAGGTTTTTATTAGCAACTCTGATATACTTTCCAATGTTTCTTTAAGAAGTGATATTTCTGATTATTCGCCAATATTATTAATTTACGAATCATTTTTACCTGAAATTAATAAGAGATAATATCTAAAAAAGAGTAACATGTTGCTTTTTTTTTTTAAATGAAGTTTTAAATAGATTCTTTCACAATCAACAACCTTATATCAACAAGAAATAAAATAAAAAATAAAACAATTTATGTGAATTCAATGATTTCAGTTTATGCGCGTTTCATATTTATGAATCTCAAGAAAATTACCTTGAATTAAACTGAATTACAGAATATATACCTATATAAATTTTTGGATATATCTTTTCAAATGTTCAATTGGGAAATATTTTACTTACGTTTATCGCCATACTGCCCAGAAAATTGTAAGCTTATGCAAAAAACATTTTAAACAACAGAACAGTTTATCTTGATCAAATGCAAATTATATTCGTAACAGTTCACAAAACTTAAGAATGATAATAATAATACATAAGGAAAAGCGTTGCTTTATTTAACACCTTTACAATTCATAAAAATAGTAACAATTGATTCTTACTTTTCATGAAAATTATAAAACGAATTATCTAAGCGTTCAAATATACAGCAAGCATATAATCCTAGCATATATCATTGTATGTTAAGGAACGAAGATACAGCTGTAAGCAAAAGCATTAAAATGTATTGTATTTAACATGTTTCGATTATTATTAAGTCCTTTTTTCACATCTGGAATGAAAGCAACATGACATTGTGAAATTTTTTAACATATTTATGAAATTACATAAAAAAAGAAAATTAATACTTATGTGTGAAAATTAATCCAGGAATATTTTTCGAAAATCTATTTGTGCATCCATATGCAATATAAGCAGACATGCTTCAAAAAGAAAAGGAAAAAAAAAAAAAAATGTTACAATTACAGACTTCCTTGCACAAGTCACAGTGATAACAGTAACATGGCCGCCAAGCTTCACCGTTTGAGTTGAACCTTCCCTCCTTTTATTCTAACCTCCTTGAAGTGAACCGACATTTATCCGTCCGACGCAAAATGCCAAAACGAAAGTAATAGTCCTTCGGGACTCAAGTCCCTTTGGACTAAAAATCAAGGATTCCAGGAGCCAAAGTTTTCATGATGATTTTTATCACATCTGGATTAATTGTTAAAAAATAAAAGCACGTTCTTAAGGAACCTTGTAAGGTACGTAACATGAAGAAAGAATAAAAAAAATAATTCCCTTGACCAACTGGTGAAATGAAAATTTGCTTTAGTCTGGGTCTTTGACGTCAGACGATTTTAAAGTGAAGACTTTTGTTGTGAGAGAGACAGATTTTTATCTCCGTTTCTGAGATGCAACTGATAATAAATGAGATTAAGTCTATAAAAAAAGAACATGTCAAAGTAACCATTAAGAAAGGAAGAGCCTGGATTGCGGAGATTTTTATATAAAATTCAAGAAGTTTACATACTAACGTTTAAATTTTATATAAAATTGCGCATGTTTTTTCGCAGCCTTATAAAATTAGATATTTGAAAATGACAGGCAAGATAATTGATAAAGTACAAAAAAGCTATATTAATATAGTACTTGATTACTCACTAACGAACATGATTTATGCAATATATACAAAAAGAATTTATAGAAAGAAACATTGTTTAAATTAAACATATTTATCATAAATTCGAAAAAGTGGAACATACAATTTGGGGGCTGGTGGCCAATAACGGTCAATATATCAAGAAAAAAAAAAAAAAAATTTTTTTTGCGTCTCTTATGCGTTTCGCAAAATCGTTAAATAAAGACGACAAATTCTCTCAGCATTCAGTTCAAAAGCCTCTCATTAGAATGGTTACAAAGTTTGACTAACTGTTTTGGGTGGGGTACACAGGAAGAGTATGAGGCTCATAAGTGGCAGATTACATAAATAAAAATAAGTGAATGCACACACCGAAACTAAAATCAAAGGATTAAGGATTCAAAGTATTTCTCTGAGTTATAAATAATAAAGTGGGGCAAGTCTTCTTATATGTTTTCTGTATTTTAAAACATTATTAATTTCCGTATTTGGTTAACATGACAGTGTTTTAGATTCTTTATTTCTCTTTTATTTTTAAATTTAGTTTCTATGCCCCATTGGGCAATAAAGTCAGCTTTCATGATGTCTTCAAACTTGTTTCATATCTTGCATATTAATAGAAACGCTTTTTATTGTTTTCCGTTGGTCGATGATTTGAGTCCGATTTGATCGATCCTGCACTATAGCGGGGGTTAAAAATTTTGTTTAATTTGTTTTTTTTTGGCCTGTTATGATTTTCTTAATTTATATTCTATGAAAAAATATTTCATATATAATAATTACATTATTTAGTCAGACTCTGCATTGTTGTGATAATTTTTTATTTTTCAGATAAATGGATTAAAAGTTGTTAGCTGAATTGAATTGCAGTTTTAATTAAAATTTAGTTATGATTAATTTAGATCAATAATTACCTTTATTACAATTATACAAATCAATAACTTACCTTTATAATGAAGAATTAATTATATTTGAGATCACTTTTAAATTTAGTTTTAAAGAGAAAACTTCTGTTTGTTCTCGCCATAGACTAGAGAAATGGTATTAGAATAAGATCAAGTTTCGGTTTACAGTTTACTGTTCTGAGTCATCAGCCAATTTACAAGTACAGTATACTTGATACGTTTGACACTTCAATGCAGCTGTTTAACGAAGAAAGGGGCCCCGCCTCCGCTATAAATTTCCAGTGTCTTCCCAAGTTGAGTCACAGTAAAACTTTCATCCAAGACTTTACTGTAAAGATGCGCGTTGTCCATTTCCCTTTTAAAATGCTGAAACATCTTTTTTTTTTTCCTTTTTCCCTTCAGTCAAATTGTACTATTATTATTGTCATATTCTAGTGATACATAATACATCACCTACAATATCTTTCTACATTCCCTCTGTATTATAAATGCATTTCAGCTTAATGTATAATTAATGTATAATGTATAATTACATTCAGTTAATTTAACAGTAAAAATTTATGGATATTCGAATAGTTTTAGAAAATTCTTCACAAGTTTACGATGAAATCATAAACAGGTAGAAACAAATTTTATTGATATGTATCCAAAGAGCTTTGAAAATGATTGTGTAATACGAAATGGAAATTTTAAAATTAAACACAAAATATTTATGGTATGAGGATTTATCTAAATTTAAATACCCACTGTAGCAAAATATGACGATTTTCTTTTAAGTTTCAAGGTCCGAGAAATGTTTAGTAATTTAGAGTTAAGCTTATTGACACTAACGTATATTTGAAGATGAGTACTCACACTATGTCGCATGGATTCTAAAAGTAGTACACATAAATACTTGTTTAGGAAACAAGTATAAAGTTTCTTCATAATTAGTAAAAATAAAATTGTATGAAACAAGTTTTGCGTAGTTCGTAGAGAAATGCGAAAACCTTCATCTAATGAAAATAGGTTTGTTGTACCCCAGGTGATCAGAAAGCAAAAATCAGTTAGGAAAAGCGCATATATTTTAGGAGCTTCAATATTTATGATTATTGTTATCTGTTTTATTTGCGTCTTAGAAAGCTATTTATGTCTCAGAAATTAATGACTTCAGATTTTCAATCTTTACATTGCTTATAAATTAAACAGTATCAATTTTTTATCTTAATCATTAATTTATTGACAAAAATATAAAAAATAAATATAAGGTATGGGAACATATATTAATGGAAGCTATTTATGTCTTAGATAAGTTATACAGTGATGCTGAAATGAAAGAGAATCATGTACAAAGGGATTTTATGAATGAAAACTGCATCATTTACTATTAAAACGTGTTAATTAAATTTTTTAATTTGCAAAAATTATTGAAATATTTCAATAACGGGGAGCATTCTTTTCTGAAATATTCCATTCGTTTGTGTAGTGAAAATAGCAATGTAATTCGCGTTCTTTCAGATGTTGAAATGCAACTTAAAACTATTAGAGCAACGCTGCCATTGATATGTTTAATATTTTTAGTAATTAATTTATCGAAATTTACGATGTAGTATATATTTTTAGTTGTGTGCTATCATTTTTATTATCTTTATTATACTGTTACTGATGATTTCACATACTGAATGCTGTGGAAAGTAAATTAAAAGCAAAAGTAAAGTAAATTGTAAAATTTAATTTCAAATAACGATTAGAAAGTACTTCATGAAGGCGTTCGTCCCCTTAGGCAAATAGTTCTCAAGTGCTTTATTATTATATAATAATTCAATTCAATTCCGTTTAAATAGCGTACAAATTATTGCGCATTACTCAATTATACGCTTAAATGTTTCACGTTGTTAAAAAAATTGTAATTTATTATATTTTTTTCGAACGAAGAGAGATCAATATATTACTTTCAAAATAAATTTAATGTCTTCAGAATTATCTTTTACAAAAGTGTGAATTTTTTGGTAGATAGGTAATTTACAGGTTACGAAACAATACAGCTCTTCTCTTTTCTAAAGCAAATCCTCAAACGAGTTCTGTGCTTTCAGATTTAATTCTGGATCAGGGATTTTAAAGAATTCCTAACCTGCATTTTATCTGCAATGTGAGAATATTTTGAAAATTTTAATATGAAAAATTGGATAAATATTTATTTACTCATTATTTCAAGTAAAAATATTCATCCATTCCATTTCCTACCCCCATGGAGTGAAAAGTAACGAATTTCGATAAATTTAATGAAAAAAATTTCATTAAATTTACGCTGGAAATTAACTGAAATATTTGGCCGCTTAAATGTTTGAGCATCTGTGTGTTCGTAGCCTGTCGTAAAACTCACCCTCTTTCTTCGGACCTTGAATTCATTCAAAGATCCCTAAGCCGAACGGGAAATCTCTCCTTTCCAAATGTGGTGCCATAAATTCTTTGCGTTTCCTGGACTAGAACGGCATTTCGACATGGGGGTTGGGCAAAGTCCTTTCATGCCACAACTACTCAGCTTACGTCAATGATTTTGCGTCCTTAAGAAACAAAAGCATGTATTCTGGAATTAGCAATTAATACTTACGAATGATCCCCCCTCCAGCTTATTACTGTAAAAAACAGAGGAAAAAAAAAATCGAACTGCCTTTAACTTTTCCGTTTTGTACTGTCAATCGTGCTTCTAAATCGAAAATGTTTCTGCCCCTTACCTTGCCTCTTGGTGCGACTGCACAGGTTACAAATACTATCGTTTTTTACATTGTGAGAATTATACATTCAAACATGCAGATTCTTTCTTATTTAATTTCTTTAAAAATAATGCAGGGTGAAATTATTTGGTGGCAACAATTTGAAAGTTGATACGCCGTTTATAGCGAACCAACGAAATACATGTTAATTTAAATTCTAAGAATCATTCACATTAATAAATTCAATTTCAAATTGAATATTAGCACTGATTTTTGGACTTGCGTTTAATGGAAAAGTTAGTAAGAGATTCAATATACGAACAAAAAATTAAACGTTACCGGAATGACATATTATGAATATTACGAACTGCAAATAATATACCACGATTTCTCTTAACTTGCAAAGTTCAAAGAATCCTGCCTAGTTACTTCTTTGATTTATACTTAGAAAATATGTCTACTGATTATTCGATGATAAAGTGAATTATACAGAAAGAAATGAATATATAAAATAAGTACTTTATAATAAATAGTTACAATTAATGATAAAGTGAATTATACAGAAAGAAATGAATATATAAAATAAGTACTTTATAATAAATAGTTACAATTAATTTCCACTTCCGCTGCTTTTTGATTTGGGACTGCAAAAGGAGAAACCTTTCCTTTAGGGGGTCGTCTTTAATAATTTTCAGGTTTGAGACTAAGGAATACAAAGGAACTTTTCCTATTTTCCGTTTACTGCTATCCCTAAAGTGGGGTAGGTCATGAAGTTATTATTTCATAGTCGAATGCTGGAATTTTAACTTTTGCAATCACTTGAATTTAGCTGTTTCAGGTGCTTACAAGGGCCTCCTATCTACGTCATACAGAGAATTGCGTCACTGCACCATATAGGTAGGGGGCCCTTAAAAACTTATAAGAAAACGAATTCTATTATCTAAATATACTTAAAGATTCTAAAGTTAAAAGTGAACTGGAGTCAAATCAAGGCTATTCCTCAACTATATTAACAAACGTGTAAAAGGGGTTTAACACAAAATCAAAACATATCAAAATTAAAATAAGAATTTATAGTAGTATAAATTGTAAAAATATAAATGATAAGCAAAAGGGAAAAAAATACAAGATAAAACACAAAAATAATAGTTAATCTTCTTTTATTTAAATTCTAATTCCGAATCCATCAAGGGAAAATGAATTAAAGCTTCTATATATATGTAATGGAATCCGTCTTTTAGGTTTAAACATGCAAATGTAGTTCAGCAGAATATTTAAGGGCCCCCTAAGCCTTCGGGCCCTTATGCGACGGCATTCCTTGCATACCCTTATTTACGCCACTGCGTATTTTAAAGTATTTGAATTTAATAATATTCTAATTCTTTTAAATGTTGGTACGATGGTTTTTAATTCGATATTCAATTTCAATAATATTTTAATCTAATTAAACGTTGGCCCAATGTTTTTATTCTCTTCTTTGCTATATGAAAGTAATAATAACCTTACTTTAGTATTTTATACTCATAGTAAATGTATTTATTTACACTTGCCTGCCATCTTAAAAATCGACATTTTCAACAAAAAATTAATCCATTACTTTTAATGATATATTTTTTTTTAAAGTTTCGAATACTTTACTATGCGTAAAAACAGCGTTTTTCAAGATGACTGACGTTTGTACAAATCGCGCCAACGTAAATCGCCAAAAACCCGTGCAACCGTTTACCAAAGTAGCACCATTTTTTGTAGTGCTTTTTTCTTTTTAACGAACGCACATTTTTTCCTGTACCAAAGCCGAAACTAAATAAACAACTTTTCTTCCTTATATGGATCGTCAGATGGTGAATCATACTCCCAGAAATCGCTTTTCACCCTTTTCTCTGCATTATTATTAACATAACTGCATTATTATTAACATTAGTATCAAATTAACATAACTTGGTGTGCACGTCGTTCTCATTGGTCAAAGAATTGCGAAAGCGGTAGAAATTCCGGTAGATTCCGTATTCTTTTGCTCTTACCCAATACTACACACGTTTGAATTTTTATCAAGATTTTAATAATTTACATTCTTGTTCCACGTGGTCAGTTCATATTCGCATTTATTATGATCAGTATTTCTTATATTTTTCGCATTCTGTTTGCCAAACGAGCCCCTAATGTTGAAGACCTTGATTTAAACTCGGCTTAGCTTTAGTTTTGCAGTCAAATTGTAAATCAAAAGAACAGAGAATTGTGCCGTTTTAAAATTGACATATTTCATAATGCTGATTCTTCGACAGAGTTTATAATTTTGCAGAATAATAATCTCATAATGCGCAGTCAATTTATTTTAATATTAATTTTTCTGTCAAATAATTTTCTCCACTGATACATTTAACCATCTGAGAATTTCTTACCAGAAATCATCAGTTTTAATTTATACATTATAGCACCCATAGGCTTTATTATACCCGTATGCTTATATTATAAGCATATGTATAAATATTTATAATATATTTACAATAACTGCTGAAGTATAGATAAACTTCAAAAATGGGTGTGTTTTAACACAGATTAGTTTTCTAAGGAATAGTATTCAGAATGGCATAAATAAAGTGAAAGTAATAAAATAGTCAAAATAGTTTTTAGTCCAAAGGGATTTCAGTCCCGAAGGACTATTGCTTTCGTTTTGGCATTTTGCGTAGGACTCATAAACGTCGGTTCACTTTTCAAACTCTTGCCACAAAATGTTAGAGTCCTGCATTATATTTGAAGAAATTAATAATGAAAAATCTGCATAATGATTGTCTATTTCTCGCATTGTGATAAACAATGGTACATAGAGCCATCGAATTTTGAATGACGAAATCCTACTGCGAATATGGGCATCTGAAATCCCAAATTTGGAATTTGTTTTATTATAGATTTTATATTTTGTAAAACTTTAACGAATTTTTGATTTACAAACTCAATGCTTTAAAGCGAGAAATGGCAAACGTTATATAGAAAAAAAAAATACTTTTATCTCCAGCTCGCGAGACTGTGTATATCGGAAATTCTAAAGATATGCTTAATTTAACATTATTTTGCGATGTTGCTCTTGAACTGAATTTTATGGTTTAAGTGCAAAGAACATGATATTTAATAAATAAAGGTAACACTCAAAACGTTAAAAAAACGCCCCTTTCGACGTAATTTAAAATCTGAAAAATTTCAGATTTTTTTTTTTTTTTTTTTTTGGCAAATGGATTAAACACTACGCAAGTTGGGTGTTCTCCCCTTTCTCCACAAAATCTCGAATATTAAAACCGTAACAGTTAGCAGCAAAGCAAGCAACAGCTTTTTTTCTTTTTGGTCACTTTCCAACCTGGATTGAATAGGACTAAAAGTTCTGTGGTCTACTAATCCAAGCAAAGAATGATTCTATTCCAGAAATTTAATGCAGTTTGTTCAAAATTAGAATGAAAAACACCTCATATTGGTAAATCTCTTTATTAATCAATATGAGTGTAGTACGGATATCGCGCGGAGCACGACGTGTCCTGCTCAATGATAAATATGCCACATGGGCGCATGACGGTCCGAATACCGGTAGCTGTTGATTCCTATTGCGTAATATCACATGCGGAAGAATTAAGGCTCATGTATTGCGCAATAATGTTTGCCATATTTCGCAGAGATAAAAGAGTTTTACTGTGCTTGCTAAGCAGATTATTTTTCAGTTCCATTGGACTATTTTTTATATAATTCACATATCAAAATGTCAAAAGCATTATTTAGCTGAAAAATCTAAAAAACGGCTACAATCTACTCCCCCTTTCCTCTTTTGCCAGTTACACTTCGACTATCCAGAATTTTCAGATATTCGGCAATTTCCGAGTTGTGCCAGGTTAGTTAAGCTTTTACTTTTAAAGAATGACTGCGTGAAGCAATTTCCCGCCTTCTGATTTCAGAAAAGTTTCTTTTAATACTTATTTTTACTTAAATTACTTTGCTTGCAATATATGTTAAGGGAAAACTGTTACAGAATGAAAATTTGGAAAATGTTCAGAATTTTGATTTAAGTTAAATTATTTAAATATTAATAGGAGTGGAAAAATAAATTGTATTTATTTTTAGGTGCCAAGCTAATATAATAAATATGGCTTATTATTATTTATTTTCTCTATTTTGAACTGAAATTCCATCATTAAATCTTGTAATATTGTATGGATCGCATGACGGTCCTCATAATGGTAAATCTTAATTGGTAAATTAGTTCTGGATAGTTTTTTCCCCCTCTTATTGTAAACTAGTTCTGTAAATTGAACTGTTATTAAAATTAAAAAAAAAAAAATGTAATTGTTTTCTATGGTTGAGTAATTCTCATTCTCTCGTAATAAATACTGAATTTCTCATATTTTAAATTACAAGTCTAATTCTTTTAAGGTTATGCAGTTGTGTATAATGTAATTAGACAGGTGCTTATTTTTTTTCTTAAAATGTGCTTATAGGTGCCTTTTTTTTTAACTAAAATGTGGCTACGAACCCTGTTTTATTTATCATTTGTTTTCAGTACCATACTGATTTGCTAAGAGCTTCCTTTCCTTAAATTACAAATCAGTGCACATTTTTACAAAAATTTTTCAGCTATTTATGACCTTTGTTAAAAGAGCTATATAATGTAACACAGATGTCAGAAAATTGGCTTCGACTAAGTTTTAATAATGTAAAATTAGGACCCTTTTTTCCTTGACATGAAGTTATGGTATTCAATATTTATGATAGATTATTTAAGTTTCTTAATAACAAATAAAAATTAAGAGGGAAATTTCAAGTACACTCTTAGAAACCATGAAGATAATGCAAAGTTTGTTTCCATAACGTTGCATGCATACGGCCTCGTAATGGACTGAATGCAACCAGATAGCTTGATAAAATTTATTTTCATAAAAGAAATACTTTACAGTTTTGGAGCTTTCCACAAAAAGTACTCATACAGCTCTTCTCAGTATGAAAGAACACAGTCAGTATTTACCACTTCAAACTATTAAGAATGTTAAACACAACTACTGCAAAGCACATCAGCTCTTCTCAGTATGAAAGAACACAGTCAGTACTTACCACTTCAAACTATTAAGAATGTTAAACACAACTACTTCAAAGCACATCTAAAAGACAGACATACAAAGTATACAGATGTCTTCAAGATACTTCGAACTCAAAACTGAGAATGGGCGGGTTACAGTTACATAGGCTTTTGGGCCAATTTCATTAAAACAGGGACCAGATCAAAATGTTGCGAAATTTGGCGATAAAAATTAGACGCCAAAATTACTGCCACTTTGGCAATATCTCACCAATTTAGCAAGATAACATTTACCTCAATGTTAGATTTGCCCCTGTAATCTTATTTTTCCGGTAAAGCTTCAGGCCGTTAATGTCACATTATACAAAATTTGCAACACTGCCACCTTCTCAAGGACTGCACGTTTCGGGCAGTAAAACTCCTTGATAAGAAACTGTACTTACGAAGAAGCAATGCAATACTAAAACAGTATCACTAAATAACATACAAAAATTTAAATACTAAACCAATAAACAAACGCATAACAAAACAAACATTTATAAATTTATATACACATAAGACCATGGTCTTAGTATACTGTTTATATTATACACACGATGGCGACTACATACTACGTCCGCATGAACGGGCCAGCCTGTCATAATGAACGACATCAGGCTTAGAATCCGAATTACTATTAAATTAAAAAAACTTAAGAATAGTTAATCAGCTAATTTTGAATACAGAAGGATTTTCAATTGAAGGGGGGATTGCAACTCTTGGTATATCAATCTTGATAACGTTATATCAGATTTAATTCAGTTCTTCTTTATTTATTTTACTGGTTTTGGTATGCATTTTCAGGTTTTTCTAATTTTTAGGTTTTAATTTCACATTTCTTAAATTCTTATTTTGTATAGTTATAGGATATTTTGAAATTTATTGGTACTGAATTTAACTTTTTGGAGTCTTTGTTTAAAATAGGTTTTAAATTTCTTACTTTTTGTCTTATATGTATATATACAGAGCCATTCGCTACCTGACCAACAAACTTGCAGGGTGTGTAGGGGGTACAGAGATGACTCGGAATCACATAGGAATGCAAGGTCGCAAATGCCGTAGTTGCGTTGTTGTTTAAGGAAAGCTATAATGAATCGACGTAAACGCGCAGGTCACCTGCCAAAGAGGAGGCTGTTTTGCGCCTGGCAGAAAACAATCAAAGCACGAATGCTCGAGCGATAGCCCAACAAGTGAGTTTATCGCAATCCGTTGTCTGGGGAATACTCACTGCAAACCAAATGAGTGCATACCATCTTCATCCCATCCAATCGTTACAGCCTGAGAGTTATCCACTCTGTAGGATTTTGCTACATGGTTTTTGCAGCTACAGATAGCACATCTGCTGTGCCCATATTGTTCACGGATGAAGCATACTTCACATGTGAGGGAGGTTCTGGAGAACCCTCATTGTACGCAACCACATGTAGCTCAAGAGCGTTTCTCGGTCAATGTTTGGGCTGGCATTCTTGCAGACTACCTCATTAGACCGTTCCTTCTGCCCAGTCCTACCAGACAGTAGGGCATAACTAATGGTACCAGCATGACAGAGCTCCTTCCCATTACACGACTGATGCCCACCAACACCTCTGGATAGGTCGTAGTAGCCCGGTTCATTGGTCTGCCAGATCACCGGACCTACCATGTATGGACTGCTTCTTATTCTGGGATCACATGAAGAGTGTGTAAGAAACGCCCATTCCTTCAGCTGAAGACTTCGTCACATGAATATCTGTAGCTGCCGAGAGGATACGTGACATGCCAGAAAACTTCCAGAATGTAAGGAATTCCATTGAGTGCCGCTGTCAGGTCCGCCGTTACGACTGTAATTTCGAACACCTGTTGTAGTATAACCTTTCAATAAAACGTTTTCTGTCCCATTAAAGTGTTGCTGTTTTTGTTCTTTTCACCATAACTCGCGACTACGGCATTTGTGACCCTGCATTCCTTTGTGATTCTGAGTCGTCTCTGTACCCCTACACACCCTGCAAGTTTGTCGGTCGGGTAGCAAAATAGCAAAGGAAAAAAGAGTTAAATTCCTTGGTTTTCATACAGATAAATAATTGATTGAAATATGTTTTTACTGCGAAGTCCATTTCAATATAAAACGTTAAAGAGAATTTTTTTTTTTTTTTTTAAATTAAGGCAAAGCATGAAAGGGCTATCTGTCGAAAGGAAAGGATGACTTTGTGGAGGACTTTCTAGCTAAAAAGAAGCACAAGTGAAATTTAGTTACTTCTTTTTTCTTCTTAGATCTTTTGCAGTGGGGTCTTGTAACATAACATAGATACAGATATAAGTAAGTGGATATTTAGAAAAAAATCTGTGGGGATTTAGAATTCTTCTATCTGACATTAAAAAATAAGTGAAGCAGTAATACTTGCATTTTGTATTACTAGATTTAAACTAATGATCTAAAATCTGGAATCACTTGAGCTACCAACTTGAACTTTGTACTGTAAATTACAATACAGACAACTTGCATAGTGATAAAAAATTCTGAACAATATGGCTAAAAGTAAATAAGGATTATGTAATAATAAGCAAGCATTTATTTTACAGTGGTACTGCCCCCACCTGTCTAAAACAAAGACACACTATAAATACTTTATGTCAAGGAATTAAATTTACAGGTATAAAGAATTTATTAAAAAAAAAAAAAACTTTGAAACATCAACTCATAGAACCTTCAAGCCATTAGATTTTAATAAATATTTAAGATTTGTTGCATATCCATGTTTGTCACATCATATTAATGAAAGAACAAAACCATTTTTATTAAGGTATTTTACATTCAACAATGGAAGTCACAACAATGTACTTTTCAATGCTTTCATTGTTTTCAAAATTTTAAAGAAAATCTTATTTTAGCAAATTAAAAAAAGTACATATTTACAAAATGATTATTCTTAAACATCAATACATTTTGCAAAACATATTTACAAGCAAGAAACAATTTCAATTACATATTTAAACTTATTTAAAGCAACATATCATTACATTAAATATAACCATATGCATTACACTACATAAGTAACAAATAAGCTGAAAAAGCAATAAAATAAAAATCTGACATAATGCTACAAACATTCATTTAACTGCAAAAATGTATCTGAATAAAAATTCCTAATTTTACAGATGAGGATTTACAGAAGCACATTTCACAACAAATCTTTTTAAAGAGAGGGATGCAAGTTAAAAAATAATATATAATATCTTTTCATTCAATAAACACAAAATACTAGAATCATTTTCAAATTTCTAAGCAAAATTTTATCAGTGCAAGATTTATGTATAAGCTACACCAGCCATAGCTTAGGCCCACCCCAAAATTAAAATATAGTATAACAGACTTATAAAGGGCCCCATATTTCAAATAGCTTAGGGCCTTATCAAGTATAAATCCGGCTCTGAATTGTATCATAATACAGTTTCACTAAATACCTACACAAATAGATAATTTACATCCAAATGGTATAATATTTAATATTTTTCCAGCAATGAAAATAATTACCATGAAACTGAATCTGATGCCAAAGAAAGCTTAAAAAATTTTAAACTTTATTTTTTAAAAATAAAAACTTTTACTTTTAAGCAAAAAATACTTAGTCTTTGAAATATCAGAAAATTAGGATCAATTACACACATGCATGTAATATTTTACATATGGCTTCAGGTATGTCACAACTGCTTATACACTACTGGATATACAGTCAGTTTAGATACTTAGCATGCATCAAACCATGTATTAAGCGACTTCAGCCACCTACATGGTGACCACATTTATTATTAGTGTTCCACTGCACTTAAAAAATAATAAGAGAGAATTAGACATATGAATTTACACCTGACCTTGAGTGCAACAGAAGACTTAATTATTAAAATCACTTTTGTTTCAATTACATGACAAACTCTCTCAACTGAGGCACATTTGTGTCTCTTAATATTAATGCTGACAAAAATAATAAACTAGATTACTACATTTTGCTATATAGAACCTTCATTTCTATTAATTCATTAGTACGAAATATAATGAAAATTATCATGAACTATTTTTTGTCAATAAACTTGTAGAGACATTAGGTTATTTCGAAGCAGGAGAGATGAAAAATGAGAAACACCTTCACCAAGACTCAAACCACGGGCCTCTCGAAATGTGTCAAGCGTGCTGACCACTACACTATGAAAGCAGGAGAAATTCCTTATATACTTCCCTTTTCAAAGATTGACTGAGGATTAAGAGACCCAATCATCAAATTCTGGGGGTGAAGAATCATCACTAACCACCCTTTTAGTTCAGGTGCCACTGTAGAGACATTGGGTTATTTTGAAGCAGGAGAGATGAAAAGTGAGCAACGCCTTCACCGGGACCCGAACTACGAGCCTCTCGAAACGCGTTGAGCATGCTGACCACTACACTATGAAGGCATGCAATGCTTTTTCAATTTAGCTAATATACATTAAACAATGTGATATAAATCAAACTATGCTAAATTACACAAGAATTAAAAGCACATATGGGATATTAAAGAATCAAAAATAAATTTCACTGATAAGTGAAAAAAATAACTTAAATACTGAACTTACGTAGAAGTAGAGAAATTTTTGTAATTGATAGTAAGTTTAAATAATTATTGGGTACATATCAGCTAAACGACACTGTCGGCTTAATGCCCTGTTGACTAAATGTCCTGACAGTTAAATGTCCTGACGGCTAACTCTCTGTGTCACATAAATGTCCTGTTGGCTAAATGTCCTTGTCGGCTGAATGTCATGCACCCTTCTCACCAAATAAGCATATATCACTTAATCTATTTTTATACATAAACTTATTCATTGAACTTCAAATTATACTTCATGGAATAATGATTTGTATAGATATACATAAAGCAATAACTACTGCAGACCAACTATTCAGTAAATCATTCACATATTATCGGGTTGGCAAGCAGTTTGCACAAATAGATAACATTATGTTTGTTTTGTTATTCTTCTGTCCTTAGATATGTCTTCTGTTTTCTGCTTTTGAAATTTGACAGCTGACACTTTTAGGTTTCTACAGAAACAAATTTTGCATTCTGCATTTTGTTTACTAGGGGGTCAAATATAAACATTTTCAACATATGTTACATCTTTATTTCCACAAAGGCAAAAAAGCAGCTTAGGCTTAAAGAAATATGTAAAGTGTTTAGTGTTGATTATTTAACAGAAGCATGTGTCCGAATTGGTTTAAAAATTTTTGTTGTGAAGATTTTTAACTTGAAATTGAACAGCATTCTGGTTGACCTTCTGAAGTTGACAAAATTAAAGCCATAATTGAATAAAATCATCATATAACTGTACAATAGATTGCAGAAAGGTTAAATATAGCACACACAACAATTAAAAATAGCATAAGATGTCTTGGACTCGTTAAGAAGCTTGATATTTGGATTCCACATCGATTGGAAAGACATTCATTTAGCATAACAAATCAATATTTGTAACACACATTTCAAATGTAATGTAACTGACCTTTTTTGAAACAAATTGCCATTGGTGATGAAAAAAGGATCATTTACAGTAATATTCATCGAAAAAAATCACGGTCCAGACAAGATAAATTAGCACAAATCACACTGAAAGCTAAATCGTAACACAAAAAGATCACGCTATCAATTTGGTGGGAAATTGGTGTGCATTTTAAGTTTCTTCCAAACTACCAACTCAGATGTTTGTAGAAAACAACTGAAAAACTAGCCCAATGCTTTCAAGTAGTTCATGCCCACGAAATGTATATAACAACTGTAAATTCAAATTTGGACATAGATTAGGCTCATTAAGATCAGCATTGAATTTTTTCCCTTCTTCCCTTATGTACAAAAACTAATCCATAATCTATCTAATTATTTTTGTTCAATAATTGAGACATTATACAAACATAATGTCGGTTGTATTTCATGGGTATCCAGGATACCCATGAAATACAACCATATTTTGAACAAGAACATGGCAAATATTGCCAATAGAAAAAAATATAAACCAATGAAAATCATTTTTAAGAATTTAACTTGAAGTAGGTATTTTTTTAAATTTATTTTCAATTAAGCACTGGCCACATACATGTAATAATCTAATTATGACAATTTTATATTTTTAATTCAAAATAATTTATGTTTGCATTTGTTAAATACTATTAACAAAATTAAAATCTCAATGTGAACAAAACAAGTTTATAAATTGTTTAATTTCCTTTTATACACAGAAATCTACACAAATTATGCATTTTGGCAAGTAACAATTATATAATAATACAGCAGGACAGCCTAAATAAATTAATAAATTCACATATTATTATGTTAAAAACTGAAATAGTTTAAGAGTATTTAAATAATTAATCAAAAATGCTTTATTTTTCATCTAAGAAACTTCATATTTCAACTACGTTATTTCCCATAAACTCTTCTTAGAAAAAATATTACATAAATCCCAAGCAGTGTCATCTTTCCCATTACGCCCTGCTTCTAAAAGGAGCCCAATGCTATTCTAATATTTAATCTCTTTACACCAAATATTTTTAAGCAACTGTAGATAGTGTTTTAATAAAAAATAGCTGTTTAATTTTCCCCAAAAATTATTGCCACTGATAGATTAAAACAGCTACCAAAGATCCTTTTCACAATGAATTGGAAAGACATTCATTGTGAAAAGTTATGCATCCAACGAGTTTGGAAACAAGTAAAAGTAACATAAGTTGTGAAACTTTGTAAAAAAAAAATATAGAAAGATCCCCCCTTTAATCTGTTCTTTATTTAAAACTGTTATGTGTACATGTAAGAGTATCTTAACTAAAAATATAACATATATAATCTAATATTATAAAAAGTAAACCTAGGTAAGCAGAAAACAATAGCAATTGTATTGTATATTAATACATTTCTCATTTACTTTGATATATTAAAAGAACACACAAAAGTTTGGATGTTTCTCACTTTAATTAATAAAAGTATTCTTTTTTAATTACCTAGTTTTCTGTCTGTATGGATTAAAAGAAATGGTTATTTATCTTTTGAACTTCAAACCACACGTAAAGACGTTATTGGTTCTATGTACAACAACATGTTATTGACTTATCTCACATAACCAAAAATTGGCACTGACCACAATATCATTCTTAGAAGTTTATTTCATATTTACTCTTATGCTAAAGCGAAGTCTAATGATATTATTACCACTAAATATAAAATTGATACAATGATTTAAAACAATTCCTATTAATTTTAACAAACAATTTGGCATTTTTCTCTAACTACAGTTCAGTATAGCATAAGTCAATAATCTTGCATCAAGTTTGCCCTCTTCCTTGACAGGAGAGTGAAAAAAACTGCAGAAGTGAAATACTTCACGCACATACGCAATCAATGATTTACAGAAAATAAATAATAGATGCTCATATATGAATATGTAAATGCAGCTTTGAAATATTTGCCTATTCATGAAAGTACTTTGATCAACATTTCTAAAGGAAATATAGTTATTAAACCTTATCAATGAATAAATTGTATTATATGTAACATTTATTAAGCTGAATGAAGCTCGTCTCAGAAATACATATTGAAAAACTGGCAAAATTTCCAGAATAAATATTACATATCTTTACTTAACATTCTTTGCTAGCAGAGAAATATAACCACACACACACATACGTCACCATTCTAAATTGAATTAAAGATATATTTTCTTTAAAATAGCTTTTAAAAAATCATGGCTATTTTATATATACAAATCAATATTTAATATATATATATTCAGAATTTATTACAACAGATGCCACTTCATGTTGCCATTTGGATGCTGTTATGAAATTGCCAAGTCCCACCCATTTGTACACAGAAACATGAAAAAATATATTGCTTATTGCATTAAAAATTTGGTTAATATTATCAAAGTATTGTAAGATCTGTCTCTGTTATTCCACATAAACTAAATTAAATCCTACAATAAACTTGGCGAATTCTTGCACAGGCATGAATAAATTACCAGCACAGAAGAAGGTGAAAGTAACACTTTATTTACTTCAAATAATTAACAAAAAGGCATGATCTTCATGCTTTACAATGGCACCATCAACTTGCAGTGAAACTAAAATGTATATTATAATTCAAGTCAAAATCTAAAGTAGTGCTGGATTAGTACATTAAATTACAGATAACAGGTTGACTCACAAAAAAGTAACAGGCATGACGATAATCCGGAATGGCGAAGAGGCTTACTAGCAGCAAAATAGCAACGAAACATGCACTGGCTAGCGAACACATGCTCTGATTAAACTCAGCAGCAATTCACCCGTTTAAATACTCACTTCCCTTAACTTTAAATTTACATCCTGGCAAGAAAATGTGAGGGAAAGTTGAGAAGTGCAGTAAAGGCATCAAACTTAAAATAAATTTGTTATGCAAAATAAGGGACATCATTATAAAATATCTTTTTTAACTGATACTTGATAAGTCACCAAATATGGTCAAAACAGATTATAAAAACAAGCAAGTGAGGGATTACATCACTACACAGCTTGTTTTCAATATTAGTCAGCCCCTTAAAGCAAAGCAAAAAAACAGCCTTAGTTTGGCTTAAATTTTGAATAACTTCATCAATTTTGAGGATGATCAGACACAGGTCTCTCTTCTCAAGAGCAAAAAACATTTCTCCGGAATTTTTCCAGGATTCTTAAAAATTTCCCGGAAAATAATCTACGCTAAATTAAGGTTTCTTTAATTCCTATTTTTAAAATTTTACATTTGGATGTTCTCTTCCAGTGAATGAGGGATGTTCTTCGAGTATTAAGATTAGGGTTATAGCATTGATCAAATAATTTCCAAAAATGTTACGAACAGTTCATAAACAAGTTTTTGCATTTTTCTAATAAAAATTCTTTGAAAGTTCTTATTGATATTTTCTTCTAGTGTTTATATTAAATTAGTTAAATTTCAGCACTATTTTGAAGCTTATTTTTTCTCATTGTTTATTGTTATCACTCCATTAATGCTATCCAAATAAGCCATGATCACATTAAGCAATGCCTACTATATAGTCCTTTATACTAAATAATACATGCATATTTAAAATTTACACAAAAGTATATAGTTTTAGATAATCTAATTATCTTGCATATATACCACCTTTACAATATCAAAGACATAAATGAGAAATTAAAAATCTTACATCATGATTCCATTAGTAAGTTAAACAATCTTAGATTCAAACATACACATAGAATCTCCACCTGCGCTGCAATCTTGGAATCAAGTGAATATTCCATATTTGATGTAATTGTATATAATGATGCAGACCTGTACATCATTTTACCATATGTGAAAAATTTGCATTGATATTAAAAAGCTTAGCTTTGCTGCAATTATAGAAAATGGGACACAGAAAATCAAGGGTATTAAATCCATATTAAAAACAAATAAGTAAATTATCTCCTGAAAGTTTTATAGCATCTTCATATTTTTCACTCATATGAGGATGATTTCACATACAATATAATCACAGCATGAAAATCCTTTAAAAAAAGAAAAAGAAAAGAAAAAACTGATATATCAGAAAACTATGCTAAATCAGAAATTTAAATAAAAAAAGAGTAGTAAAAAAATGTTTTACATATAGCTTTGATTTATATATTTATACAATTAGACAGGTTAGATTATTGAACTTGCCAAAGCACACAAAAGAGCTTTCTGTATTTGGAAAGGATCGCTTCGTGGAGGAAGTTCTAAGGGAAACTGTCTCATAGTCACTATACACATGATGAAAGCCATGAAAGCAACCATGTAGACAACCCATTTGCCTAGGATCAAACCCATGTCAAACTCCCAGTATTCAGCGGCCTGAGCCACTGGTAATGTGGGGGGGGGAAACTAGATGGAAATGAAGAGAACTAATAAGATAAATAATAAAATGAATGATATAGAGAAAAAATACTAAAACACACAACTCATTTAAAATTTTGCACACCAAAATGCAGATTTCTATACAAATACTAAACAAAATGCTTATTAATAAATTAAATAAGTAAATAAATAAATAAATATACACAGTTACAAATTTTACACAAAATAATATCTTTCCAAAAGTAAATTAACTTGCTATATATAATACAGAAATATGACATTTATGAGCTGCACTAGCATTATAATTTATAATGTATTGTAATAATCCATACTCAGCCCCTACTTTGAAAAAGAATAGTTACTAAAAAAACTTATCCATAAAGCTAATTAGAAAACTAATTATTTTTTTTCATATTTTTTACATATCATCCTGATTTGCAGAAACATCAAAAAATACTTCCCCACTTCAAGATAATATATATAACTGAAAACTTTCATTATTCTGTCTTTTTATAATAAATAAATACAAACATACAGGTTTTAAAATGTTTTCATATTTTCAAATCTGTATGTAAAATACATTATAACACTAAATGCTTTAAGTTAATTTATAATATTACAATGGCACTACAATGTGCCAGGTTTCTAAAACATGTATTGTATTCAAACATAAAACCAATATAGGAACTACATATAATCTTACATTTATTATTCAAGTTTCGTAATGAAACAGACCACACCAGGAGGGAATAAAAAAAAGAATTTATTTAATGCTTTTCTTTTCTATTCAACAGATAAGATACATAAAAAGTCTCATCAAGACAACAAACTTTGCAGGACAGGATTAAATGACTGAACAACTTTAACTCTATGACCCACAGCTTCAAGAAAAATGTGCAAAGAGAAGGATAACATAACCCCATGGTGTGCAGAAAATAAGCTTATATGCAGCTTATGTTTAGAATCATGAGTTACACAATGGAGAAACCTCGCAAGAGAAGATAAGGTCATCAAGTGCAAAGCTAGAAATCTGGCACATGCTTACCTCAGCTTGAAAATGGATAACCCTTTCTTCAACAATTGCTTCTTCCTGCATGAAGTCAACTCTCCAAAAACTGGAAGAGAGCAACTATTATTCCAATTAGAAAATCAGATAAGAAGGCTAGCTGTCCTGAAATCTACACACCTGTAACAAAGCTTTCTCCATTCCATGTAAAATCATAGAAAAAAATATTCTATTAGAGTTATTTTTTATCTTGAGTCCAGAGATATTTTGCCGAGAGAAAAGTGTGATTTTAGAAGAGATCACAGCACCAGTCACCAAGTTTACTTTGTACACAGCTGGAATTAAAGAGGTCATACCCATAAAATGTGAGGCTGGAAAGTTTGCTGAAAACACTGCCATGTGGTCTCTGATTCTGACATCAATCTTATTAAATCAAATATAAATTTTACCTTAAATGACATGTTAAAATGTGTTAATGAATACAAACTGCCATTCAATTTTTCACAATCCTAAATTAGTTTTTTTCAATACTAACAAGTATTAGTACTCATATCATACCTCGATTTATTGCAATTATCAGACTCTTTCATATGTTAAATATCCAATGCACTTGGATTTTGTCATGGACTCAAGAGATTATGGGCTATGGGCACATCGTAAATCTGGCTAAAAAGGAAAGTGGGAGTCTCAATATTCTTTAACTTATTTCTAGTACAAATTGAGGTGGCAATGCTAAAACATTCCCGAGAATGTGTACTGCCATTATAAGAAGTATCCTGGAATACGAGTTTCCGGTATAGATTAGTGCCTCCACTATCAATCTTAAAAAACTTGAGTGAGTTCATTTAAGTGTAGCTCGTACCAAAATATGTTTAAGAAACAGGTGCCTAAATAAAAGAGTACTTTATGAGGGAAAACTCCCACAGCTGTTTCATGAAGAAACTCGATCATTGTGAAATATTTCAATGAATTAAAAAGCTACGTAACTCAGACAAATTTCTGAATATCTTTGTGAATGAAGAAATAATCAATGTTTAAAGAACAACACACAACACATTTAGTTGGGGGGGGGAATGAATATCATCTCCCATTTAGTGGAGCTTACCTTACTGAAACTCTGCATTTGTCCAGCAGAGAGCTTGTCGGGTGTGTTGTTGCATAGAGAATTTATGTCTTACACAAATAAGAATTATCAGGTCCTTGACTATCTATAACAAATAGGTCTCAAGTCTATAAATGATATTCCGAATGATGCCATTAGGATATACACAAATGGCATTAAAAAGAATATCAATAATAAGAATTATCAGGTCCTTGACTATCTATAACAAATAGGTTTCAAATCTATAAATGATATTCCGAATGATGCCATTAGGATATACACAAACGGCATTAAAAATGAGCTAACTGTACTGGATGTAGTGTTTTTATTAAATACAATGATTATACTGCTGAACTTTCAACACAAAATACAGATAACAGCTCAGTTTTCATGAATAAATTAACTGCAATAAATGAAAGCCTGAGGGCCATTTTAAGCGATACTGGTTTCAGTAGTATCTACAGACAGCTGCAGCTCTACTCAACATTTACAGAATTGGAATCCAGCTGAAGATCATGTGGTTATTCAAATACTTATCAGTTGAAATACATGACAATGATCACAGATATCCACTTATTGGATATTTTCTCATATAAATGTATCCAGCAATGAAATCGCCTATAAACTGAGTAAAAGGGACATTATTGAGAAAATGACTACTGATTATTCTATTAGTTTTTTTAGCGATTTTCTCTAATTAAAAAAACTGTTGTTCAACAGTAATGGAGATTGGCCCAAATGAAGAAAGAAGAGAACCTTTATATGAAAGACAACGAAAACAGTACTCCTTGCCACGAAACTTTTAAAGAGTTGCATCTGTTAATGTTCCAAACAAAAAGACCCAAACTTTTTTAAAAATTAAGTGTACCATGTACTTATTAAGCAGTGCTAAAACTCCTTTCAATTAACATTTGTTTCATTCCCTCTCCCTTTAATTAAAACAATATTTAGGTTTGTTTAAATTATACAAACTATCTTAATCTGAATTATACCCAATATATTTTTTCATAAAAAGTTAACATCGCGAAATGCATTTTTGTCATTCATTGCAATTTATTGATGATAAAATTCCCACAAGAGTTTACTGTGGTCTAAGACCAAATATATATATATTTTTATTGCAGATAATATATATAAATTTTAATGTAAAATTAGAAATACTATATTTTATTATAAGGTTGCATATAATAACAGAATTGTTAAGTAGAAGAGTAGTAGAAGAAAGATTATTCGTTGCTGAAAAAATAATTTTTAAATTTTTGACTAATAATGTGCAACCAGGACTAAAAAGACAATAATAATAATGTACATAAATGTTTATAAAATAAGCTTTTATTTAAAACTCATAAAATGATTAATCAAATAAAAGAACAAAATAATTTATCACATAGTTGTGAACAAATATTCTCTACAATTGTATTTCACAAACAACAAAAGTATGGATGCCTAAATAATGAAATATAATAATCAAACATTTTTATCATTTGTGATATAAAATTGCAGATGAATTCTGTGAACAAAATTATTTAATCATTTGTTGTATTAAACTATATGGTAAACTATTTTCTTCTTTTAGTATATTAATTATTTTGTGAGTTTTAAATTAAGGTTTATTTTATAAGCACTTTTTTTTTTTTTTTTATTTGATATCTTCAAGCTGTGTTAATTTTTGCAGACACCCTGCAGATGAACCTTGTCTAGTTAGCCATTCCACAGCTTGTAATAGTACGTTTCACTACAGACATTTCTGCCATCAAAATAAAATAAAGATTTAAATTGCTAAGAAATGCATTTTAAGCAATTACATTTTAAAAGATGAATTGTGATGAAAAGATGAACTGAGAGGCAGCACTCTGGAAACTTGCTATTCCTAGGCTGCAGTGAAGATTAATATGTGTGCTGGTCATTTTGAACAAATTCACATTTTAATATCACATGCTTATACTACTAGTGTTCGTATTTTATAGAAATCCTATTTTTCGAATATTGGATGAAATATCACTTTCTTTGTATTTTTCTCAAAAGCTATGGCATCTAGAGGTATGGTTCTTGGATCTTTTTTTATGCACTTCAAAGGTTCATTTTTTCCCAATTAAATTAAGACTGAAAATATATTGAAAACATACCAAACTGAACATTTGTTATTAAAGTTTGCTTTGAAAACATTAATTTATGAAGATTTCAATTTAATGAAAAAGAATCTGCTTTCCAATCAAATTTTTATTTCAATGAACCAACAGATTGATTCATTAATGAACATGAACTAATAAAAGTACTACAAGCATGCACACTTCCATTTTACACAACAAAAGAAAACTCAAAAAGTATGAAAGTCTTACCTAAAATGTCATTTTAGAATTCATATACATGCATACTTTTCAGATATAACTGCTTTAAAAGCAATGACTCAGTTTTATTGATCAGGAAAGCTTATCTGACTCTTTTTAAGAAAATAAATGAACAAAGAATGAAAAAAATTCAGTCTCAATTTCATTTATTCTAATAATTTTGCATCTTCTTCAGATGAAAATATAAATAACCTAATTAAGAATTTACAATTAAAAGCACTAAAACAGAAATAACATTAATATCATACATACACTCTTCCTAATAGTTTTTTACTTTGTATGCATCATAATTTAGCTCACATTATTTAATAAAGAACGTACACTGCACTTTTCTGTTTACTATACAACAGAAAGACTGACAAAACTGCACATTACTTATTGCCTTTAAAATTAAACCATAACAAAACCAATACTTAGGCATCCCTCCTTTGCAACCCCCCCCAGAAAAAAGATCACAGGTATTATTTATATTTTTTCTAACCTTCTCGAAAAAAAAAAAAAAAAAACTTGAAAGTTTTTATTATTTGACTATTAAAAAAAAGAGGCATTAGAAAGATGAAATCAAGTCTTTTTAAGTTTATATCAAATAATATGTAAAACAAATTAAGGAAGAACTAACATTTTATGTTGTTATAAATATCACGTGGTACTTAACAAAGACAGCTTGAGAAAATAACATATGGAGATAAGTGGAAAAATAGCAAACCTTCTCATACATCTACTTAAGAAGCATAAGAAGTTAAATTACACAAATGGATTTTCAAACCAATAAGTTATATATAATATATGAAAAGATTTCAAGGCTAAATAACTCTAAAAAGGTCTATCACGTGCCCCTGGTATAGTTTAAGAAATAAATTAAATATGAAGCTTTCACTACAATTCTGTTTATGAAATTTCATTTTGCTAAAAATTCTACATATACTCTCTCAAATCACACTAATTGCTAAGCTATTTTTTTATTTTACTAAAGAAGTTTTTAAAAGATGAAAGGGTTAAAAGTTTTAGAATTTGACCTTGAAAGCATCAAAATTACATTATAAATCAGTTTTACTTAATGGAAGAGACAAAAATATTGGTTTTATAACAAAACCTGAATTCCATCATATTAATTAAAATAATTTCTTGTAAAATTATTAATGAGGTGGGCAGGGAAGTAAATCGACAATTCAAATGAATGGGTGTTCTATCTGCACGTTAACCAACAAATTTTAATGGGTATGTCGTAATTTTTTACAAATCTTGACAAGTCGTTCTATGGTCACGAACAAACCAGTTTAGCCCAATTTTAAATATAAGGCATTATGAGTAAATTTTAATCACAAACACGTACAATCTAATTAAATATCCGGTAATCAAACATTCAAAACAATTGTCATAATTTGTATAAATCCAAACAAAATCACTCAAGGTCATTCAAATGTACACGTAGAAATTTTGATTGGGCTATGGTAATGTAAACTCTTTACATTAAAAAGTGCTAGAAAAATATTTCTAAACTCTATGCATTTAATTAAAGATAAAACATATGGCATAGACAAGAGAATAGCTAACAAAAATTTAAAAAAAATACAGATAATATCATTACAAATAATAGCTACAACTAATGGCGAGTATCGTCTTCCAGAGTTAAGCAGCAGGCTTCCTTACACATAAGATGACTAATGCAAATAACCAACCCTTTAAGCCACTTTTAAGATTTCCAAGAACACACTTATCAGAACAAATAAAATACATCTTGGCTAATAAATTTTAACATTTTAATTCACACCCAGGGTAAATTTAATGATATGAAATATACTTGTGGATGGCCGTGGGCCGTATATTTCTCCAGTCTTTACTTCTGATCATATTAGTGTGGTCATGTCTTCGAATCCACTGAGATTCCGTTTTCTGATCCGGAATTGTACTTTTATTGAAGAACACAGTGCTTGTCCCCAGTGAAGATAAAATAAAAATTCACTATATCAGTGATATATCTTAAAGAAGCTCATACAAATTTGAAACATTAACTGCTGTCATATGTTTAGAAGATATTAATAAAATAGAAATAAAATATTAGAAAAATAAAAAACATATTAGAACAATGAAAATTCGAGGTATTTCTTCCTCCCTCTTGAGGGTGGGGGGTTTTCACGGCAAGAACAAATAAAATCAACAAAAAATAAAAGAGTTTAAAATATTATTGCGATCTATTTGTGACAAGGAATTTTGTAGAGACAGTAAACAAGACGTGGGACAAAGGGATTCGGAAGAAAAAAAAAGGGGGGACAAAAGTTGGAAAGAGAACAAAAGCTGTGTAATAGAAATGGAGTGTTAGCAATGCAAATCAATACGGAAATTACCTTTATTTTGCATTCAAATGAGGTTCAATGTGGCTGCCGTTGTTGTGGACCACATATTGCATTCTGTGCACAGTATGCACAACAGCAGAAAGTAACATGTCTGCAGGAATCTCCCGTACAGTCCGTGATATGTTATCCTTCAACGTAGTCAGGTCCTGGACCACTCCTTGATAGACCTTGGACTTAAGGTAACCCCATAGCCAGAAGTCGCATGGGGTAAGATCAGGCGACCGAGGTGGCCATGCAGTTGGAAAGTAGCGGCTAATGACTCTTTCTGTTGTGAATTTCTGTCGTAGCATCTGTTGCACCCGTACAGCAACGTGTGGAGGGGCTCCATCTTGCATGAAAATGATTTCCCCCCAGGCATTGTCTTTGCTGAAGTGCCGGAATGACAAAGCTGTTCAACATGTGGCGATATTTTCTCTCCGGTAACAGAACAGGTTTCCGGTCCTGTCGGGGTAATGTTCTCATAGAAGAATGGACCTACGATAAATTCCGCTGTGAACCCACACCAAACAGTTACCTTTGGTGAATGTAAGGGAATTGCTGTGACTGCATGTGGTGGATTTGTCATCCAAGTTCGGCAGTTCGGTTCACAGTTCCATTAGGTAGTGTCGCCCGTCTTCCCAGAATCGCCATCACGGCACATCATCACTCCATTTGACAAGAATGTATAGCAAAAGTCAACGCTTAACCATGAGCGAGGTACAGAGTAACTCCGTACCGCTGTCTTGTACGATAGAAGTTGATAACCTTTCGTAAGATTTTCCATACCGTACACGTAAGGCATATCCATATTCCATACGGCAATCCATAATAAAAGGTAATTTTATTCATAGAATTGCATTGTTAACACGCGATTTATATACATCAGCCGTGAATAGTTCGGCAAGTGAGTGTTCTTAAATATTTTTTTTGCGGAATCCTCGCCCCAGTTGTTTAATTTTCCTACAAAACTTGGCATCATTCTCAACAATAATCGGGCTACAGAACTGTGAGCACGGTCAGTTTAATGGTGGCCAACTATCATAAAATTCCTATCAAGGTAATTAAAAAAAAATTTCTGATGTGACACCACATGACTTTCTTTGGCAGCTTATTTCCCAGACACCCGAATTAAAACCTTCATTAAATAGTAGCAAGGGGAGACGATATTTAGGAGGCAGAAGTTCAGTTCTGACGCGCCGGCACAAGATATTTGGCCGGTCACTAGGGGGAGGCAAAGCTATGGGAGGGCATACAAACAGAAACTCTAAATTATTATAGCTCTTTGTATCAAGTTAGATTTAACAAAATATTAATAGAGCACACATCGGGTATGATTTGTTTTTTCCCATAATGAACAATAGGCTAACAGCCTGTATTCATTTTTTTTTTTTAAAAAAAAAAAAAAAAAAAAACATTTTAAAAACATTTTAAAAATAAAAACATTTTAACAAACAAAAAAAGATAACAATAAAACGTGAACCATTTCACATGCTGAGATGAGATGAAAAAACAAAAAAATGACACTAAAACAGAAGAACAGAAGGGTGAACGGGAGAGAGTAAATGATGGAGGCAGAAAAAAATTGGGAGAGTTGGAATCTAAGTACCTTGCTGATACAAACGAGTTTCATAAGGAATTAATCATCGTTTTGTCGGTGGCCTTTGATGAAAGCTGGTTTTATCCTAGGGGAGTGCTAAATGTATAATGAGCAGCATTTTTTCATCTATCGCTCTGGCTGTTACTGTGAAAGACCGAACATTGGAATGTGGACTCACGGCGAAGGTCACAACACACCATACTGGTGAATACGAATTTTGCATACATTTGTACACATTGGGAGGCATTCCGATGTCAATCATATTCGTCTGGTGTAGGTCGAAAAAATTATACTCAAACTGGTGATACTGTACACAATACGATGCTTGAGTTGTTGTACAATAACCAAATGTGTTAGCGGTTGTTGTTGGGTAGAAAAAAAGAATCACATGAAATCTATACAAAATGAAAAATGGTACTCTCAGTGTTTACACCATAACCATAAAGAAAGTATATCCATAGACGAGATTTTTAGAAGAAAGAAAAAGAGAAGCAGCGCAGCTTAGCAAAGCGGTGCAAGCTGACACGTTGTCATTGCAAAAGTGGTTCCAAATAATGACAGAATAAAAGAGGCGTCCTTTGCATTCAAAGGGTCATAATATGTAAGTTGTTGCAATATAAGATTTGATCACATAATTGAGTAATTTTTTATAACTATTATTTATTCTCATTAGAACGGACTGTATATGCCAGTGTGTTATTAACGTTTATACTTGCTATTTCTTTCCTATCTTTGAATAATGTTTTTATAGTTCTTATGTTCTAAGTCTTTTTTATCTCAAGGTGCATTGTTTCATGACTGAATTATGGAGAAGAAAATATAATATTCTTATTTGTTCAACATTTACCATGTACTAATGGTGAATGTCGACATTGACCGGTGTAAGTCAGAAATAAGAGTATTTGGAAAATATTTTGGACATACACCAAGCGAATATGTGAATGTTGACATTCACCAGTGAAAGTCGACATTCTACAGATTTCGGTGTTTCACCGTCACATTGATATAGAACAGCGAAAAACCAAATAGCTAAAACATCAGAAACCTTTACTTTTATATTTTCAAGACTGAGAAACAAGACGCATATCAGGACCAGTTTAGGGGCCCTGAAACATCCACAGTTGTGGAAGGCCTCAACCTTGAATGAAGTCCTGCAAATTGTTTTGACATTACTTTTCATACATTTACTGCAATTCTGAATAATAATTACAAATTGCATTGTGATTTTGTGGGAAAAATAGATGACGGACTAAATGTCAATGGGCTAAAAATGATACATAACAAGCATGAGCAAAAATTAATCAGAATAAATATAATTTCTCATTTTAAAATTATTTCTCTTTTATAATAAATAATAATAAATAAATTATTTCGCTCTTCACTTTAATCTGCAATGATATCGTTTTTGTCTTTTCCGTTAGCACAAGCTCTATTAATAGTATTTGCTGGTATTAGCGTTTAAGTGCTTTTTCTTTGAACACCCAAATTCCTTGAAGTATACTGAAAGCATATTCAGGGTTCACAGTCACATTTTAGTTAAAAAAATAAGCACCTATAAGCACTTTTGAACCACATTTTAAGAAAAAAAATAAGCACCTGTCTAATTACATTATACACAACTCCATAACCTTCAAAATTAGACTCGTAATTTAAAATATGAGAAATGCAGTATTTATTAAGAGAGAATAAGCATTACCTCAACCATGGAAAATAATTACTTTTTTTTAAATTTTAAATAACAGTTCAATTTATAGAACTAGTTTACAATGATAGAAAAAAAAAAACTATGCAGAACTAAACTATATTACAATATTTAATGATGAAATTTCAGTTCAAAATAGAGGAAATAAATAATAATATGGCATATTTATTCTATTCGCTTGGAACCTAATAATAAATACAATTTATATTGATATTTAAATAATTTAAATCTAAATTCTGAACATTTTCTAATTTTTCATTCTACATCAGTTTTCCCTTAACAGATATTGCAAGCAAAGTAATTTAAGTAAAAAAGAGGCACATTTCTGAAATCAGAAGACAGAAATGTGCTTCATGCAGTCATCCTTTAACAGTAAAAGCTTAACTACCCACATACTTGAAAACTGGCTAATATTCGGAGAGTCGAGTGGAACTTGAAAAAGATGAGTGGAGGGAGGGGGATAGATTGTAGCCGTTCTTTAGATTT